GTTTTCTTATTTTTTGTTGGTTAGATTCACAACCCTAGCCTTAGTTAAATTCAGTTGTTTGGAGGATTTTTCCATGCTAACTTAAGTAGAGGTTTAGGAAAGAGAGAATTATATGAAAATGCATATGCTGAATAGTTGACAGTGATTTTTGTAAGTGGTTGCTGTTTCATTACCTGTTCTTCAATTATGTATTTCCATTTGCTATAGTGTATTTAATTTCATACCTTATAAAATGTGAACAATTTGTATTGCATATGCTATTTTGATAGTCTTATATTGGACATTTCTTCTGATTACTGTTGGCTTTTATTATACTTCGATGCTTGGACATGCATTGCATTTGTTAGCTTACAAGAAGGGAGCCCCACAAAAGCCAAACGCATTGGGTGAAATCACTCCATGTAACTGTACCAAATTTAAAAAGGGATGAATTTGGCCACGCCTTTTTAAAATTTATTTTACTGTCTTCCTCTCTTGTGGGTTAAGAAATGCAATATATGTTCAAGTAAATTAATGAAGTTACACAGGGATTCATTTGAAATTAATTTGAAATAAGATAGAAACAAAAGTGGGAAAAAATCATAAAAAAGAATAAAGCCTAAAAAGCAAAACAGACAAATAAAGTGTTTAGGGTATCTCAAGAAAGGAATAAGAGCGATATTATAATTGTATTAAAGTAAATCAAGCATACCCATCACCGTTTCTACTGTTAGTTTCACATCTTCTTATCACAAAACAAGAAAATGGCTATAGATTCTGTACTGAATATTATTAATGAAGTAGAAAAGTGTCCATATAAGGATCACCTTACTATCAGCTTAGTATTCCATAGCTTAGAGAGAAACAATACACTTAAAACTGATAAAAGAAAATATATATTACATAATGAATAATTACTAATTGCCACAAGATATTACTCATCAGTAGAATTAAAGCAAAGTGTTAACTCAGGTTAGTAGAATTAAAAAAAAGACATTTATATGGATAATTTGAAAATTCACAATTAGATAATATAAGATAAACATTCATATGGGATACAATACATCATGTTTTAGTAAAGGAATCACTAACTGGGAGCTGTTAGGAAGAAATTTGTCTAGTGTGTGGCTGTTCCCTAACTATCTGTTATAAGGTTTCCTGCATTTTTCTGTGAAGCACCTGGTACTGACTTGCATTTGTTTCAATATCTTGATCTGTGGGGCTAACTTTTTTTTTTTGAGTAGTGGTTCACAATTTAGCTCAGGCGTGGGCAATTATTTCAGCTGGAGGGCTGCTTAATGCATTTTGGTGAGCTGTTGAGGGCCACAAGAATAGCCCTGCTCCTTGACAGGTGCTCCACCTCCTGGTCACCACCTTGGGGCCAGAAATCCTGCCCCTAACCCCTGACCTTTGCTACCAGAAGTCCCTCCCCTTGCCCCACAGAAATAATCCTTTTGGGAGGAGGGGTTGCCATCTTGGAACCAGAAAAAAAACAAATCATATACTAAAAGTCAAACACATGCTATAACTTATTTTAATTTTATTACAAAAATATTTTTGTCATGATTTGTGTTTGTGTAGTATATATAGAGATGATTGCATTAATAACTCAAAAAAACTTACTCTGGTATACTCTGGTGTGTGGGGTTTGTGTATATATGTGGGGGTTGTGGGAGCAGGGTGTGGATGTGTGGGGTTTGTGGGGTGTGAGAGAGGGGGGAGGGTGTTGGAACCCCCCCACTCTCCCCACCATGGTGCACAGCCCCTGCTGGCATCAACAGCAGCAACAGACAGCCGGTGCTTGGGCACTCGTGCCCAGCTCAAGTGCTGTTGCCAGAGGCACGTGGCTTTGGCCAGCGCTGCACATGGGGGCAAGGAGTGCAGCCAGGCTGGCCTGCCTCTATCATGTGGGGCTCTGCACAGTGCACATGCAGCTCCCATACTTGCACAACACCAGGGGAATCCCCTCGTGATGGAGCCAGCTGCCTTCACCGCTTCCTGCCACACAGGTACTGGGACTCTGCAGGGAAGCAGAGCCTGGGGCTCCCCTCCACTTCTGGTGGAGTCCTAGGACCTGCACAGCAGGGAGTAGTGAAGGCAGCAAGCTTCATTGTGTGGGGCTTCCCCCAGTGGCGCACAAGTGCAAGAGATGCACATGTGCTGCACAGAACCCTGTGCGGTAGAGGTGGGCCATCCTGGCTGCACTTCTTTCCACCACATGCAGCACTGGCCAGAGCTGCACACTGCCATGAGCACCCTGAGGGCCTTCTGCTGACTGGGCCAGGCCCTTCCACACATAATTGTGGAAACAAGGTACAATACAGTAAGTTTGGGGTGGGGTGTATATGTGGGTGCCTTGCTCCCACCCTCGTGGGCAGAAGGGCTGGGTGGGGTACCATTAGTCGATGGGCACCTGTGGGCCAGATGAAATTGCTTGGCAGGACAGATCCAGTCCATGGGCCATATTTTTCCCACCCTTGTTTCAGCTGCTTCCTTTAGAAGACACAACTTACTAAAGTCCCTGACTACTGTTTAAAAGTAATTGATGATCATTTGTGCGAGAGGGGGTTTGGTCCTAGCTCAGTTTCCCCCTGGACTCATCTGCCATGGCTTAGATTGAAAGGAAAAAGAGAGAGATTTAGTGGTATTTTAGGAGCAAGGAATCACCATACGCCACCCAGGTGGTAAAATCTCACAGTGCAGCCTTTATTTTGCAGCAGGAGGTTACAGGGTTGCAATAGCCTTGCTAATTACTTCATTAGCGAGAGAAGCCTGTATGGCCGATAAGGGAACTCAGCACTGGATGCCTCATAGATACTTTGAACTAAACATAGTCCTTGCTGCTAATTGCCTCATTAGCCAAGCGCGTTCTCAGTGTCTTTTGTGAGCCTTGTTCCGGGAGCTGTCCCCATTGCTCTGTCATAGTTTGTATAGGCATTTTAGCTCATCATTGCTGTCCCAGTGGGGCTGGTGGCTTGGTCCAGCTCCTACTGCCGGTGCATAGCCCTGGGAGCACTCTCTCTCAGAGCTCCCCTTGGTGCCACTTCCCAAAGCCCTGGTTCTTCCCTGCACTCACCGAAGCAGCTGCGGCTCTTGGGGAAGTATCTTGCCTTGCGGCTGACCTGCCATGCCGTCTTGAGTCCCACGGTCCTGGCAGCCTTCTGGACTGCAGGTCAGGCTTCTCTTTCTCCCTCTTCTGGGGTCCAGTAGTCCCTCGTCTGTCTTCCACTGCCTGAAGGTGAAGTGTGTTTGCCCAGCCGCTGGGTTTATACTGGCTGTGGTGGGCTAATCACCCTGACCTTCCCCTAGTGTGTAACTCCCTTCACTTGATGGGGTGCATTCTAAGGTCATCCATGCCCGTAACTATCTCAGTAACAGGGCTCCCAGCTGAGCCCCTGTTACACTTTGTTTTCAGGAAATAATATATTCAAATTTAGTTTACTCAGATGACTCAAAGGTATTATTTTCCTTTGGCAGACAAGGTTCTTTGGATAAATCTGATATCTTTTATTGGATCAACTAAATAGTTGGAAATTTTTTTCTTAGCAAGCTTTTGGGTTTAGGCTCAGGAAGCATCTGCACTTGGTGTGTGGTCTTCCTGGATGGAATGAACAGTAAAGAAGCCAGAGGCTGGTATGCATGCAAGAAATTTTCCTTTAAGTTTCTTTGTACTATGCCAGGTTTTTAAAGAGTCCTCTTTGTTGTGTTAATTACTATTTATGTTACTGTCCTACCAAAGAGTCCAAATTCTGAACCAGGATACCACTATGCTTTGCACTATAGAGACACAAAACAGACTGACAGTCCCTGCCCTAAAATGCATACAGTGTAAGCATAAACAGTAGACAATAGATAAATACAGACATATTGAGGAACACAAGAAAACAATGAGTCAGTATTCCCCACTGCATTTGGAGCAGACTGGCAGCCAAACTGTTGTCTAGAATCACAGAAAAGGAGAGTTTTAAAGAGAAGGAAAGAGTTTTAAAGAAATGGGAGCTCCTCCCAATCATGAAGGGCAGCAGGGGAGAAAGCATGGGCAACTGGTGCCACCTTAGTCAGGGGGCGCATGTGTTCCCCCCACAGCAATCAGTCAGTGACCAGGGGGAGCGGGGTCCCTCTGCAGCCAATTGCGAGATGGCTGATCACTGAAGCCAATTGCTGCAGCTGCTTCCAGGAGTGGCTATGGCTGCTTCTGGGAGCACAATAGCGCTCCACTCCCTGGCTGGCTCTTGCAGGGCGAGCACCGGCACTCCTGCCTGCCCCCTGCCCATTGCCTAAATGGTGAGCACAGCTGGTCAGGGGTGCACTGGCACTCTCAGGGGGTGCATGTGCACCCCTGTACACCCCCCCTACACATTGACACTGGAAGAAAGTATGAATTTTGAAAATTTAACCATCAGGACTCATAGTAGAGATTTTATTAGATCAACAAGATTTTTGCAAAAAAACCCCCAAAACTTTGGCATTGGATTAACAATTGTAAAAGTTCTCTTGGGTAGAAATGAAAGTTCATATTTCATAGGATTTCACAGAGGAGTCAATAGATGGAAAACTCCCCTGGGTAGTCAGTTCATAGCTGGTATGGAGTCTCTCACCTCCTGTGAGGATCTATGATGATGCAAATTACCTTGAAACAAAGGCAGGAACAGAATCTCAGTTCTCAGGTGGTCACAGTTGCTTCCTGCCTGGGAAAATATGAAGATTTCATTTTTTTAAAAATTGGCTAAAATTCGATATCTTACATGTCAGATTTAAATGTAATGATTTAAAATTTCAATTTCAGATTTAAATTTAACATGGAAATTTAACAAGCGAAGGATAGCAAGACAAACTGACTGAGATGAGAATTGACCTTCTGACTAGGAATTAGAAATGATAGGGTGGGGATAAGCTGTGCAGGGCTTTGAAATTTTGATGCTTTGATTTATCTATTTATGATAATACTTGAAAATTTAGGGAACACATCTATAGCTGCTAGAATTAGTGTTAAACTCTTGTTTTATTCCTGTTTCCAACAGGATCAAAAGCTACAGTTACACTTAATGGCAAAAGAAGAGCATCATAGGAAACTGAATGAAGTTGAGAAATGCTATGCTACTATCACATGTCAATTTGGAATGATAAAAGGGGCTCATGAGAAATTAGAACAGAATGGTAAATATGCCTTGAATATAGCCTGTCAGTAGTAAGTTCAATAATATTTTTACAATCCTGAGAGTTGAAGGCATTCAGCATCTTGGAGTATTATGCACTTACAGCAGGAGCTGGCAACCTGTGGACTGGCAGCTGGATCCAAATCTTCCATGAAGGTTTGACTAGCCCACAGCAAATTCTCTATAGCCAGTGGGACAGCTGGGGACTTGTAGGGAATTATGTCCCAGTAGCCCAAGTCCCTTACCAGTCTCACTTACCCTCTTGGGAGATGCCACTGTTGCAGGGTGGGAAGGTATCAGCATGACCAGCAACAAGGGGATCAATGCAGCCCAACTCCTACAGCCACATCTTTCTTACCCTGAATTTACCATTACTGCTGGTGATAGGAATTGGCAGCATCAGCAGCAGGGATGATTGACAGCAGCTACAGTAGAGGGACACTAAAAGGTCCCTACACAGACAGCTGCTGCATTAACCTTTGGGCTCCTGGCATTGCCAAGATCTCCCTCCACAGCAGAGGTGTCTTTCATGGGGAGGAGAGGTGGGGGCACGAGACTGACAAAGGAATCACAGTTGTGCCTTTGTTGGCAATGTACTGGGGTTGGGAACAGGCAGGAGGATTGTCCAGCAAGAGTGGGGGATTAGCAGCCCACAATGGTGGCTGGGTTGCAAGTGGTGGCCCACTATTGTTAAAAGATGGCCAACCCCTGACTTAGAGTACTTTTTCACTGTTGTTAGAGAAAAGAGTATAAGCTGCCATCTGCTTGCCATCAACCAAGAGCCACAGTTCTGATACAAGTTGTTTTAAATGACATATCTTCTCCATTATATAGAAATAGAAAGAAGATAATATGGCAGGTAAAAAAACAACTCATTAGGTACTGAATAAATAGCCAGACAATCTCTGTAAATTGTGCTGGAAGTGCCCCTGCAGTAGCTCCTTTAATAGTTTTCATTTTGCCACTTGCATCTCCCTGCCCCTGATTGGTGGAGGGACCCCGCTGGCTGGGCTGTTTGCCACTGATCACTGGGGAAGTAAAAACTGTGGCATATTTAAAACTGCAGTTTTCACTTCCCTGGTGATCAGTGGCAAATGGCCCAGCCAGCTGGACCCCTCCGCCAATCAGGTGCAGGGGGTGGCAGATTTTTTTATGTATACATAGACTGATTATTTAATATTTTTATAGAAACATTATTTTGAAAAGAAGGGGGAAAACAAGATTCCAGAGTAAAAAATTATGGTCTACCAGTGAAGATTAGTAAGTTTTTTAAAATCTTAAGCTAACTAGAATTTTAGATTAGATAGTATACCTTATTTACTCAAATCTAAGATGACCCTGAATTTAAGATGACCTCTCAATAATTAGATTCCATATCTGGAAAACTTATACATTTTTTATAATTTCCAGATATAGAATCTAATTATTGGAGGCTTGTCTTAAATTCACCCCCTCTTGCACGCCATTGCTACATCAGGGAAAGTCGTGGCTAGCCCAGGTCTGGGCAAAATGCAGCCCATGGGCCAGATGCGGCCCACCAGGCCATTCTATCTGGCCCGTGGGGCCCCTAAAAAATTTAGAAAATGAATATTTATCTTCCCCTGGCTGCCTGTCACGCAGCCCTTCATGGCTTGCCAAAACTAAGTAAGCAGCCCTCCACTCGAAATAATTGCCCACCCCTGGGCTAGTCACCTGATAACTGGATCAGGTGGCGGGGGGGTCAGGCAGCCCTCTTGCCCTCTGCCCCATTTCCTCCCCCTCAAGCCTTTGTGCTCCTCACCCCAGCTCACCATAATTTCTGCTCCTTCCCCTCTACCCACTCCTCAAAATCTCTGCCCTTTCCCCCTTGCTCCCCACAGTCTCTTCCTATTCCTTCCCCCATTTACCATCAGATGCTGCTCAGGCTCTATTCCCTCTACAGAACACAGCATGTAGAGGTATAGCTCTGGCTGGACCATGCAGCAGCAACAGCACTGCTGATTGGCCGGGTAGGGGGAAGAGGTCCCCTTTGCTCTGTGTCCAGCCTGAGCTGAGCTGTGCCTGATAGTAAGGTGGATGGAAGGGGGGGCAAAAGCCATAGAGGGCGAGTGGAGGGGGGACAGGAGGCTATTGTGGGTCTGACTCTGGCCCCAACCTGGGCTCAGGGCCAGAGTTAGAGCCACAGCTGCTGCCTACTCGCCTTGCCCCCCACTTTGTATATTAATCTGAGAGTCTTTTCCATCTATGCTGGTTGGGATAAAAATCCTCATTGTAGATTTGAGTAAATATGGTAAGTTCTATGCTCTGTTAACATTCTGGGCATTTTACAGGTTGGAGTTATTCCTCTAAGTTAAGTTTAGACAAAGAACTGTGCCTAATGTTTAAAACAAATGAAGGGAAAACATTGCTATTCTTTTTTTTTATATGAGTTTTTGTTTGTTTGCTTTGTTTTTTCTGTTTTATCATGGAAAGCCCTATTTGCTTGTCTGATGTAGAAAGCACTTTCTGTGGTTTCATGGAAAACTAATATCTTTCAGTATTTACAAAATATGTAATACATATAAACATATTTGATCAGTAAATGTATTTATCAGTATTTGCAGGGTGAACACCTGGAAAAGATTAATATAACAGTTACTAACTGCTTCTGTTCAACAAGAAAATTATCTATTCACCGTATTAACTGCAGGGTATCTTTCACTGTAGAGAAAATTCAGTTTTATTGCAGTCTATAACAGCTATAATAAGCATGTAGATGTAGATTCTTAACAAGCATCTAATCCATAGAAAAGTAATGTAGAAAGGATAGGAGGTCATTTATTTCACAAACAGCCTTCAATATCTAACTCTGTGCTTCTCAGCTTTTTTTAAAGACTTGAGTCGCCCTTCCAAAACTTTTGTTAACTGGGTGGCACCCATTTAAAATATTTATTTATTATAATGGTTACCTGCTTGAAGACAAGCTAGGAAGGTGGAGGAGCAGCTGGCAGGGAAGAATCCATGTTGTAGTTGGGGTGGGAAAAGGGCATACAGCTGGAAGAAAAGAACCTGCACTTAGCTTCTCAATTTTATTTCCCCTCTCTGGGGGCACCATCAAAGACCGTCACAGCCCCCTAAGGCACTGCATCACCCTTGTTGAGCATTACTAACCTAACTACTGTTTTCAATACAATTTGTATATTGGGTATGAAAGCAATTACTAGATTTAAAAATAGATGATTTATATTATTTGGGAGAGATTCTCTACCTGCTAATGAGTCCCTGGACTTGTAGCCCTGACAGCTTTTAAAATCATAAGATAAAATTCTAGCCCTACTGAATTCAAATGGGATTTTTATCAGAAACATTAGCATGGCAAAATTTCACCCATGATATTTTTAGTGTTAGAAAGCTTTATTTTGGATATTTGAGAAGTATTTTAAATTTATTTACAATCTAAAAACCTCTCTCTTGCATAATTCTAAAACCAGTAGAGGCCTAAGGTGCTGCCCATAAGCCTGTTTGTCATATGTTAAGCCCTATTTTAGTTGAAATTCAGATACTATATCTAATGCCAGGGCAGAACTTCTCCGGACCTTTTTGGAAAGGAAAAAGGAAATCTGTGCAGTACTAGGGACTGTAAAAGGACTGAATAAAAGGGAGACAGGAAATAGGTACAGGTTAGGAAAAGGTACAAGGGATAAAGGCAAATGGACTGACATTTGGGAGTTGGTGGGGAGGAAGAAATCCTGTTTTTTAGATGTAAATTTTAAAACACTTTGACAGTGAAATTTTCAGACCAGGTCAGGAGCAGCCAGGTCTGGAGCTACTTGGGAATCAAGGTGCTGCCCAGGGTCAGGAAGATCAAGCAGATTTCAGGGACAGTCCATGTCAGGAAGCTGGGGGGATCAAGCAAAGAATGGAATCAGAGAGCAATCCAGGAGACCAAACAGAGAGGGATTCAGAGCACAGACTAGAGGGAACAGTAAGGCTGAACCCTATGGTCCAGATACTTTCTGTTTCAGGTCAGGGGGTTTTATCAGGGAATGGGTGGGTTAGCTAACTTCAGTCGGTCACTCTAGTGCCAATGAATGGATGGAGGGTAGGCCCTGCTGGAGGCTCCAGGGGACTCTTGATGAGTCCAGTTGGCCTGCTGCAGGGTGACAGGCCAGGATGATTGCCTGTTCTGATCAGGATGAGGCCCTAACTTTGAGGCTGTAGCCTGGCAAAATCTTAAAGGCAAAGGTCCTATTCTTTTCAATAAGGCCAGAATTGCAATCTTGAAGTTTTTAGTGTACATAGAAATGGATTTATTTTCCTCCATTGACTTTGACTGCCCACTACCTTCCCACCTAATTATAGCTTCCTCGAGACATTGTAGCTAAGTACAGAAAAGTAAAAAAATGCCGAGGCTTAACTGATTCAATCTTTGCAGGTTTTTTTTTAAAACTGCATAGATCAGTGGTCCCAATCTTTTTTGTACCATGAACTGGAGGGAGTGAGACAGGACACAGCTGCCTCCCTCCCGGGGCTGCCCTACTGCCCAGCTTTAACCCTGGAAGTTCAGCTTTAACCCCAGAAGCTGCTCGCCCAGGTGGAGAGATGAAGGTCTCATGACATGACCTGAGAGTCAACCCACCGTGGCCTGGTACCAGTTCATGACCCGGTGGTTGGGAACCTCTGGCATAGATTGAACCAATAAGCAAGTGAACTGATGTTCACTTTTCAAATGAAAGGCAGCCAGATCCCTGCAGTGATCCATATGAATAGCCAGGGGACACTAGAGTACACCTCCCAGCCTGCTGGCCACTGCAGAGAGCTGGAGCCCTCTGACTCCCCAAGCCATACTCCCTCCTCAGCTTCTCTGCTGGATGAGCAAGAGGTGTGGGGGAAAAACCCATCCCTCCCACCTGGCGTCGGATCCCTAGCTGCGATCAGCCTGGGAGGAGGGTGGGAAACTGAAACCGGGGCCATTACTCTGCTTCTACTCTCTATCTCCCCTCTCCCCCTCTGGGAGCAGGGCTGGAATCTCTTAGCCATACCCCCTTTTCAGCATCCCAGCTGGCTGAGGTAGAGAGGGAGGCAAGTCTGTACCTGGGCTTGGCTCTGCCTGGGACTGGCTGAGGGGAGGTGGGAAGGGAAGCCCACAACAGGGACTTGACTCTGCTCCCGGCGCTGGAAGCCAGGAGCCATGCCCACTCCTCAGCCTCCAGACTGGATTGGAGGAAGAGCCCACAGTGGGGCTTGGCTTCACCCCCCCTCAGAACTGAGAGTGGGGTTGGAGTCCCCTAATTATGCCCACTTCTCAGCCTCTGGGCAGGCTGAGGGGAGAGGGGTGTAAGTTGTGGCTTGGCTCCACTCCCCCAGAATCAGAAGCAATGTCCTTTCCTCAGACTTTGGGCTGGCTGATGGCAAGGGGTGGAGGGAGGGAGAGGCCTGCACCAGGGCTTGGCTTTGACCCCTTGAGCCTTGAGCCATGGCCCTTCTCAGCCTCCAGACCACCTGAAGGGAGGGAGATAGAGAAGCCTGCAGCCAGGCCTTGGCTCTGCCCCCCAGAGCTGGGAGCCATGCCCCTCTCTCAGCCAGCCTAGGGGCTGAGAACGGGGCATGGCAAGGGGAATTTAGCCCTACTCCTGGCTGGGGGAGGGGGTGGGAGGCAGAGCCAAGCCCCAGTGTAGGCTTCTTCCTCTTCCTAGCCAGCCAGGAAGCTAAGAATAGGGCACGGTTCCCAGCTCCTGATTCATGGGGGCAGGGTCAAGATGTGTTAAAAATGTTAATGTTGAAAGTTAATGGAGTCAAATCCAGCTAATACTTCACATGTAAGAAATACTCTGGAATGCTTTTCTTTAAAAACGACTCCCTTTTTGAAAACATGAAATTTAAGCTATAGCGTGCCTAGCACTTTTTGAGCCTAATTCTGCTGGAGTTCTTTGTGTACAACCACAGTAGTTTTGTAGTGTCATATATAAATAAATTGTTAAAATACATTTAACTTAAATAAGTGTTAAAATACATATTCAACCTTGGCTTCTTTTTTACAAAGAGATTTTAATTTATAAAACCATATGATGCTTTCTTTAAAATATAAAGGTATATTTTGAAAAATGTATTTTTTAAAATTGTTTTTAATTCAAGTGGTAGAAGCAATACAACTTAACAAGAAATTGACATCAGTGAATAAAAGACAAGAGTCTGAAATAAATAATCTAAAAGAAGTAAGTATAATATGAATTTCGCAATGTTTAATTGGGCTTGGTTGGGATCTCTACAAGCTACATTATAGATTAATAGATTCATAGATGTTACGGTCAGAAGGGACCTCAATAGATCATCGAGTCTGACCCCCTGCATAGGCAGGAAAGAGTGCTGGGTTCAGATGACCCCAGCCAGATGCCTATCTAACTTCCTCTTGAAGACCCCCAGCTTCGGGGAGAACACCACCTCCCTTGGGAGCCCATTCCAGGTTTTGGCCACTCTAACTGTTAAGAAGTTCTTTCTAATGTTCAGTCTAAATCTGCTGTCTGCTAGCTTATGGCCATTATTTCTTGTAAGACCCAGGGGTGCTTTGGTGAGTAGAGCCTCACCAATTCCCTTCTGCGCCCCCATGATGAATTTATAGGCAGCCACAATAATTAATATTATTAATGAGAATAATATGCCACTACACTGAACTTTTCTTCATAAGGCAGTGTTTACTGAATAAATATAATTATGCAGAGTAGGAAAAAGAGCACTTGTACTAATATGTTTGGTAGAAGTAAAAAAGCTGGGGCAGGAGCAAAAAAGCATTTCAGGTTGGCTACAATTGATGGAGAGTTTTTGGGAGTATTGAAGATAGTGAGGAGGAGTAATATAGTTATTGAGGGTAGCTGGCTATTGAGCTCTGCCCTGTCCCTCATACATGCAGAAAGTATAGTAATAGTCATACATCCTCTTTGGATTTTTGCCCTTTCCTAATTAGGTAAATAAGGCAACCTTGGAGGAGTCTGGGAAGTTATCTCTGTCCTCCTAGAAACAAAATAAAGGGTGATAGGAGAAAGGTAAAGGTAACTGCAGGATTTATAGTGGCCATGTATATTCATTATCTCTGCATATTCCAACTTGTCCTTGTCTCCTTCCCACCTCCATTTATTTGAGTCCAGAACTTTTTCCCCCTTGAACTTGAAGCTTTGAATTGCTGTTGCTCTGATATTACCAGGCAGGTGTTGAGCCCCACCCTTCCTCCCCTATTTCCCAGATGGCTGCTATGTGAAATTATGTTTGCAGGGGTTGTGAGAATGTTACTTGAAAATGTAAAGATTGGTTAGTGGAGGACAAAGGATTAATTACAGTTTCAGTCTTTTTAATTGATCAGGAATTGGACATTTACTCACCCTTGCTTTTCTGAAAAGTGAGGTTGATGAGCACAACAATGCTTTAAAATTCTTTTTAGTATTGTTTTCTTTGTTTAATAGAACACACAACTTCTCATTGTTACGATTCATGGGGTTATGATGCCTTTAAAGACTTGGTTTAGAAATCAGCTGTATCTTGAGATCCAGACAGTTTAATTGATTAAGTCCTTTTTCATCTATTTGATTCTTGTAATCTCTAGTTCTTTGCCCACTGTAGACATATATTTTATGGGTATAGTTTTAATAAAAACAAAGATAAATCACTAATTAAATGTGAGGGCTTTTTTGGTCACATATTGGAATGTAATAAGACACACCTTGAGCATGCAAAACAATCAAGTTCCAAAATGACCGTTTGATCCAAGAGATTGTATAGCTCCTGCCATCATTAAAAACAGACTGAGAAACTTATTAACAATAAAGCAGAACACTGTGGAATTATTGACAAGGGTATGTAAATCATGAGAAGGTTTTATAGCTTTTAGAAAAGGTTTCTGCTGTGCAAATATATTACTCAAATAATAATAGCTTTATACTAACAAGTAAATACTCTAGGAAAACAAACTGAAGTGGAAGATTTTTTTTTTAAAAAAATGGTCTGTTCCAATAATGCTTTGTAGGTAAATAATTTTCCTCTGAAGAACAATTTTGATGCAGGTCAAGCATAGAAGCCTTAATTTTGTAAAAGTATGTTGTAATCTGCACAAGATAGCATATGTTCTCATGCTATATCAAGAACTGTGTGCATGCTAAGAAAAGTGGCATTTCATAATTGAAAATGAAAGATATACACTAGCATTATGATCTGATCCTGAACTCTCCATATACTTCAGATTCATAAGAAACCTCAAATTCTATAAACATTTTTGCATAATGATAAATTAGATTTGTTTCTGATTAAAAGAAAACCAAGAATAATTTTATTTACATTTCTTAAGATATAAGGTAGATAAAATTGTATTGTGTATATCAGAAGTATTCAAAAATAAGTAATGTAGTGTAAATTAGTAGGCTGCTTCATCTCCAATAATAAAATTATTTAATAAATCAGTACTTTTTTTCAAAGAGTTTTTCTTGAGGTTTAACAGGTCACAAATGAAAAGAGAACATTTTTATAGATGCAGAAAAAAGGGCCAATTCAGACTGTTTGGTTTTTTCTTCCTCTGACTGCCAGGGAATACTTTAATAAAGTATCCTGATATTTTGTGAATGTCTAATTAGACTTTGCTCTTTAAGTTTTTCACTCTTCCACTTTGAACACTGGTGGATTAGCTACTGCCACCAAAAAGTAAGTGTGTTTGTTCAGTTTTTTAAACATAGTTTTACACAGGAAAAGCAGCATACAATTGAATTAAATGAAAAAGAAATTATGTGAAGACAGGAATAATCAGAATCTAATATGTTTAGTCATATAACCACAAAGCTGTGAACAGCAGAAGTTTTTACTTTCAAAAGAACCCCTAAAATTGCTTCCTTAGTTCTTTTATTTCCTTGAAGAATGATCGAAACTGAAAACTCAATAAGCTTTTCTATTTTATACGTTTTATTCAAATCTTAAGATACAGACACTGTTTCCTTGATAATTATGTTTCATGACAATTTACTAGGCACTGTAAAAAAACCCAACAACATTTGATGGCTATTTTTATCAGATATTTTGAATTTCAAATAAAAACTAGTGAAACCTTTCAACAAAAAATTCCAGTTCTTTCTGCAATTTAGCAGTTTCCTTGCTCACTTCTGGTGAGCAAACACGTTATACTATGGGTTACTTTACATCACTCCTCTACACTTATGATGGGGCTTGTCAACCCAGGGCATTTTCTGTTTGCTGCTGCCTACAGACTGCATCGTCTTGGAAACTGTATTTCCTTGGCTGAGATGGTTAAGTCAGGGACAATCCTGCCTTAAGGAGGGGACTAAACTAGATGATCTCGCGGGGTCCCTTCCAGCCCTACTTCCTGGATTGCCTAAGAAGAAAATAATCCTATGATTTTACAAGCTGAAAAGAAGAAGCATAATGACAATGACTAAATAAGAAGTGTCCTGAGTCCAACACATTTTCCCTGTGGTTATTTTGGGCATCTACATGTGCGCTTTAATTCGCATAATGTAGATTTGAATGTGCAGTAAAGCGTGACTATGGGCACTTTTACACGTACTCTGGGAGTGGAGTGGGCAGCACTTTCATTAGAGTGACTCTGAGAGCTGCTCTAATTAAAGTCGCTCAGTGTTTTGTGTATCAGCATCCCTGTGCTTCAAAATGGTAGTGGGGACACTTGAACTAAAGCTAATTTGACGAGCTTTAATTCAAGCCTGCCACTGCCATTTTGAAGCTTGGGAATGCTGATATATGAGACATGGGAGGCTGCTGGAGCGTGGCAATTATCATTACTGTTATTAGAGTATGTTGGAGCAGCTTCTGAACTCATGTGCAGACACCCTGATTGTGCTTTTTAGTTAATGTGCATTAAGACAAGCTAATATGCATTTTCCTAGTACATCACTAGATTTCATGTGTATTAACTAAAGCATGTCAATGGATGTGTAGACACTCCCTTCATGCTTACTTAGTCAGTGCCAAGTGGTTACAAAATGGTAATACTACTCTTCCCCCTTTTGGAGAATGCCCTTGTTGTGCATTCTAGGTGGCATCTGCAAGATACAAAGCGAACATGGCAGAAGATATTTTTTAGAAGTTTAGGAGAGTCTGAGAGAGAATATTTTGCACCCTTGCTCTATTTGACTCTGTTACTGCAAATTGCAAAGGAGTGCTTCCATCCCAGGTACAATTTGAGGTAATTCACATGGCTGCCTTAACCTGCTTTCAGGGTTGAGATGGCTTCTAATAGCCATATTAACTTCTGTAGGTGCCAGCTGCCCCACAAAGTCCCTGTGTCAGCCTCTGTACTGAAGTAGAAATGAATTTCCTGCTTTATTTACTAGACTTAATGTCCTGTCATCTAGTCTCACAGCCATTAGTATGTTTTGCCTTTACCTTACTTACCAAGATCCTGTCATTCAGTTACTGTTGGCAGGAATCTAAAATTAGAGAGTACAGTTTAACTTAACAAAGTAAACTTATCTTGAAGATTCAGGGAATGAGGCATGCAGATCTAGGGATTAGATATGAAGCTAAGGTTTAACTGCAATAGATCCTGGATTTGGTTCAGGCAAGCATATCTGCCACATGGAGAATTAGTACCATTGGGTGTGTCTACACAAGATGTTTACTCTGCAGTGGATTAATTAGCTGCACAGTGAATGTCTTGGCATCTACGTGTGTGCCTCTGTTAAACTGGAGAGAACCAATTTACTCTGTAGAGAACCAATTTACTCCTTCTGTGGAGTACTCTGCGGCAGCACATGTGTAGATGCTGTGCCAGCTAGCTGGGGCATGAGGGTGCTTCAGTGTGGGGGTTATCTGTTGGCTAGCCCCATGGTGAAGCACCCTCATGCCCCAGCCAGCCCCTCTGCACTATGCTGAGCCGAGGGAGCAGCCCTGGCTGGCAGGCTGGCCCCCTGAGCCCCCTGCCAGCTGGGCTGCTTTGACCTGGCTCAATGTGCTGCATTCCCAGGTGCACATTTAAATATCAATAAACTTCTAGGCACATGTTAAAATGGCATGCCTGGGAGCAATAAACTCCGGAGCAATACACTCCAGAGTTTATAGCTTCACATTAATTGCATGTATAGACACACCCATTGTTTCCTAAATGCAGTGGAGGTTATTTGTTTGATTACCAAAACTTCTAGTACTGGCCTTGGAATACCCAGAAGCTCTAAAAACAATTAGTTCTACTGCATGGGGAGGATACAGTCTTCTGACCTGGACTCATTACAAGTACAGACTTGATTATTTGTCTTAAAAGGTCCTGTGGAAATAGCTTTTATTTGTATTTTGGTGTTAGCTATTATATTTAGGGATTTTTTGTCAAGCATTTAGTACTTATTGTTTATGAGACTCATAAATGGAAACATGGCAAAGTTAAAAGCAGTTAGAAGCAAGCAAGCAAACAAACAAACAAATAACCTTGCTAAGCAATGCTTGAAAAGTTTATCCCAGAATTAACCTTTCAGCAAGAGGATAGTTTTGGGGAGAAGGCCATCAGCAAAGTCAAAGATATGTCTAGCACCTTATCTGCCCCTCAGTTTTCTTAAAAACCAAAAGGATGAAACAGATACTATTCTACATCCCTTTTATAAGGGTTTTTTACTTGTACGGATTGTTTACAGGGTTCTGAAGAGAACCAATATCTTATTGCCAGTAGGAAGTTCAAAGGGGAAAGTTAGAAGCAAAAGCAGAAGCCCTGGGATTCAGACATGGTTGCCTTACGAAGAAAATGTTTTATTTGTTTGTTTTTTGTTAACATTTAGAGGATTGCCTTTGCAATGATAAAAGTATACACATATTATTTTTATTTTAAAACTTTATAATTATTCATAAATTGACCCTTATATCCCTTTCACTTCAGAAAACTTTCCACTTGCTTCTAGCAAGTGGCTTTAATTAGAACTGATTTCTTTTCTCTATTCATAAGAGAAAAAAATATTATCACATCTCAGGCTGGTGATAGGTCTAAAATGTACATCTCCCACAAGCTAGGTAGGCTTTCCATTCCTCTCACTAACCTCCATGGATACAATGTGCATAACATGATTTTTTACATAACACAATAAGAAACAAGGATCTAATTGTCTACTATGTAGAATTTTTTCTGTGCGTGGAAGCTATCCCTGAATTTTAGAAAATGTGAAGTGGTGGGCCCAGAGAAAGTGTTTGCACCTGCTTGAGTATTGGACTTTATAGATCACAAAAACCTTAAAACTATCTCCTAAAAACAGCAAAGTCAGATGATATATTAAAACTTGACCAATGTTCCCTTCTACTAATACCCGCTTTGACATGAAATTTTGCAAATGTAATTTATTTCTTGCTGTATAAGTAAATAATAGTATTATACTATTTTTATGTGAAAAGGAAATATCCTAACTAGATTTTACACTACAGAATACTGCAAAGTAATATTATACTCTTTAAGAACTTTTAAATTAAACAACAATATTTTGTCCACATTCAATCACTTTAGACTCATTTAGAACAACATATAAAATCTAATTATTGGAAAAATGAGAATATGAATGTATTGACTAGTTTCATTCATATAACTCTATATACATGATTTTTAAATACAAGATAATCTTCATTTTTCTTTTGTACTGTTATATGATTTTGTCCAGAACAGTTAAACCATTGCTTTGTGATAAGATGGAATTCCAGTTTTGTGAAGAAAAGTTAAACAGACCAAACTTAGTTGCTAGATAAAACTATTACCATTCTGAATGCTTAGTTCGCCACTATGGCATCATGAAGAATTCTTGATACTATCTGTGAACAGCATTCATAACCTCTGCTATTTGTCTGAGTAAACGTCAGAGCGCTCAAGGAGAGAGCGATATTAAACAGACTACCTTGTACCAGAAAGGGAGGGGTGGGGGAGAAAAGGGCACAATATTTATGGCTCTAAGAACTATAAGTTGTAATTTAATGAGATCAAAGCATTTGCTCTTTATTTGCTGCACTAGCAGCTTTGAATAAACTAGTTAGAAAACAGACACTGAAAAAGCTCAGGATATTTAAAAGGTTGCAAGACTATGAAATCAAAGGAATATTTTAAATGGAAAACCATGTTGTAGAGGTCTTTAATATTAATTTAGTATTCTCTTGAGATTAAGTAATTAATGGTACAGTGAAAGCAAAGTTCCCCAAAATGTTTTGTCAGTTCTTGCTTTTACCAGATATCCACTGCTCTTCCTTTTTCCCCTGCTGTTTCCCAAGAGTACACAGCAGGACTCACTGGTGGACTCATGGAGGACTGTTCCTGTTGCATGGCTCAACATTGGAGTTTTCTGTCAATATCAACTATTATAGTGGTGGCCAACCTTCTTGGCAGGCATGGTACTCTGAAGCCATCCCCCTCCCTGTTTTCCTACTCTGCTTTTGCTTTCTGCCCTATGCTCTCTGCCCAGGGCTGGTCCAAGGGTAATTGACACCCTAGGTGAACTGTGTACCTCCGCACCCCCACCACTTCCAATGTAGAGGAAAATAAGAAGTCTAGAATGAAACTTTATGGCTCAGTGGGGAGAGCAGCCTGGAGACTGGACCCTGCATCCCCAGTGTTGGCCCAGGTTCTGGCTCCAGCCCCATGGGGTGGGTGTGCTGGGCAGGAGTGAGTGGCACCCCTGGCCTGGGGGCAGGGGTGCAGGTCAGGAATAAGGGTTATTAGGTGGGCTGGGGGCAGGACCAGTCCAAGGTGGAGCCATAGCTAGCTAGGGCTGTTATTTAGAATTATGTTCCTCTTATTTTGTTCTGCATATAATTTTGGCACCTCCCCAAATTTTGGCACCCTAGGTAACTGCCTAGTTCACCTAATGGTTGGACCAGCCCTGTCTCTTCCCCTTCTGCTGCTCTGTTTTCTGCATCCTGCCCTATCTGCCGCTTTGCTTCTTGTCCTTTCCTGATTTGCTGGATGCCACACCCAGAGGCTGCCTGTACTTTTCGTGGCACATGTGCTTCAGGTTGTCCACCCCTGAAGTGTAATATGACTCAGTGTCCACTTCTTTGACTTTCCTATGAAGAGATAGTAGCAATATTTATATACACTTTCTTGGCAGGACAAGGTTTAAAATATGTTATTGAAAATGATATACATTGTATACAATATCTGGTAAAATTAACATAACTCTTCACAATGAAAAAAACATTAACCCCTGGTTAAAATTTAACTAGTCATTACTATTAATGTAATTTATATTACTTAATTTCATTTACTTTGGTGTTTCCATTCATTTTTCTTTTTTTGTTAAAGAGAGGGCAGGAGTCAGGATAGTTTAAAAGATTTGTCTTTGTTGTGAGTTGAAATGCTGATACTAGATGAACTATTTATGCATGTTTCCTGTGTTAAGGAACTGAAGAAAGTAACTACAGATTTGATAAGGTCCAAGGTCACATGTCAGTACAGGGTGGGAGAAGAAAACATCAATCTTACAGCAAAGGAACAGCAGTTACAAGAACTACAACAAAAAATTAGAATGGTATTTCAGGAAATTTAACATTTGTTGGCTAATGCTTCCTTTAATAAACAGAGCTGTAATGATTTCTAACTTACACATTCAAATTGTTACATATCTTATATGATCTACATATATTTTGTGACAAAACTATTGGGTATTAAATGTCACATTTTCTGAGAAACTCAGTGTATTAGGAGTATAAAATATTATTTTGTTGTTAGTAAGATTCCATTTCTTTAAAGTACTAAATCTTAAGCTTTAAAATAATTATACAAAATGATAGTTGACTATAAGCTGGTTAAAAATAGATGGTCTAATATCATTGAAGATCATTGAATAATATTTGTGTGTTATCTTTTGTTAAGGAGTCAGTGATTAGTAAAAGAGTCAATGAAGAAAATGCACACATTAGAGAGGAGAAACAAGTGAGTTATAAAAAATATTTTGCATTTTAAAATTAATACTTCTGATTAGTATTTTAGGTTTTTATAGAAACCTATGCTAAACTATTAAAAAAGTAATTATTAAAATAATTACTTTAAAAAAGAGACTTATTGGTAATATACATATAAACATGATCTTAGTTTCTGCTTTATAAGAAATGAATTAATAGGACAAAATAAGTTTTGCATTAACTTTTCAGCAATACATTTCCAAATCTTCATTTACTTGAGATCAGATGCATGTAAATCTGGCACGCCACTGAAAATAATATTCAGCAAATTTTTTCCATAAAGTTATGCAGGAAGGTTTGTAAAACTTTCTCCTTCCTTCTGACAACAGTACCCAATGAAATTCTTGTATCTCACTGGTAGCTCAATTAGGTAAAATTGGAATCATGTGTCAAACATCTAAATGAAGTATTCAAACACACGTTCTCTGTAACAGCAGTATAGTGCTCTGCTTTTCAGGGTAGTGAAAGAGTTATAGAAGACTCCCACTCCATAGGTCATTAAAATCAAGCTTTTGAAAGTGATGTACTTGGTCTCAGGGAGGGGAAGGAGCAGAATGCTGACCACATTACCCACTGAACACCCTTTAAAGTCTGACTTAGTGCCAGAGACTGCATTTTTACTTTGAAAAACACTTACCATGAAATATTAGAAAAAGCAGGTACTACATGTTTATTAGAGTTTAGCTTCACAGTTCCCATGATTCTGAGTTGTATCAAGAACATCTCTAGTGAGTTTTCAGTCTAATACGTGTGTGTGTGTTTTCATTGTTTGGGAAGACAGGCAAGTATTCCCATAGTTAAAGGTGCATACATATTAGTTTTACCTGTTTCTATTATTCGGTATTTTTTTGAATATCTAGTTTTTATGTTTAGTGTTCCCTTGTCTTGATATCAATCACAACAGTAGGGGGAAATGTTACTTAATCATAAAAAGAAGTTTAGAGTTCTGTGTCATATTTCCTGAATTTCCCCATTTGTGTTAGAAATCTTTCATTCTATTAATGTACAGAATGCTGAAAAATCACTCCTTGCCCCCTAAATAAGTTAGCAAATGTACACTATAGTATGCACATGCAGGTGCAGAAGGACAGTGTTACCTAGTGCAGTAGTATACACTGCACAAGGCTCAGAAGACATGAATTCCATTTTAAATTATGCTTGTGATCTGTGAGGTTGACCTTAAGTAAGCTACTTCACAACTCTGTGGTTCAGTTTCATAGCTGTCAAATGGGGTTTCCCTTCCCTTGCAATGTACTCAGCCAGGCATTATTATTTGTTACATTTATGCGCAAAGACATATGCAGTTTTTTATTGAATAGAGCTTCATTTTCTGTTGGATCTTCTCTGATTTTTATTTTAGGCAAAACAGTGTTGGCACTTAGCCATTTGGTTACCTAGTTTTGCTTGCAAAGAGTCTTCTGACAGTGTCTTTGGGGAACTACAAACCGGGTAGATTCACTTCAGTCCCTGAAAAAATCATGGAGCAGGTCTTCAAGGAATCCATTTCTAAGCACTTGGAGGAGAAGGTGATTAGGAACAGTCAGCATGGATTCACCAAGTCATGCCTGACCAAACTGATTACCTTCCATGATGAGATAACTGGCTCTGTGGATGTGGGGAAAGCAGTGGACATAATCTACCCTGACTTTCTACCTTAGCAAGGCCTTTGATACCATCTCCCACAGCATTCTTGCAAGCAAGCTGAGGAAGTATGGGTTGGATGAATGGACTGTAAGGTGGATAGAAAGCTGGCTGGA